AATATTTATGGAATACCCGAACTTAGATTATTAATTATTAATATATTAATATTATTTGTCCAAACCTAATTACGAAGCATGATTCTTCGCCAAATAGGATTCCGAAGCACCAGAAGCAGCCACGTAGGCTCAGCGCATTCTGTAATTATATATAGGGAGGATTAATATATAGGGGGAGGGGATAGGGGGATTTGGTTTTCTAAATTTTTTCTCACAATCATTTGAAGACATTATTAATTTCCAATATTAGATTTAACAAATAAGATTTTTATCGTTCACAATTTATATCAATAAATAGATTTTATTGTATATGCAATTTCGTAACTACATAGCTCTTTGAAATGTTTAATCAAGATATATCACATTAAATAAAATAATATATATTTTTTATTTATTGATGCGTAAATTATCTAATAATCAAAATTTAAAATAAGATTTCAAACTAACTAATCAATAGTTAATCAGGTAAATTATTACATAAACATAAATTTATATTTTTTAGTTAATTGTTGAATGTTTTGATTAGTCAAAAATAAAAATAGATAAACTTTTGGAAAGAGATACACAAAACAAATGTGGCCTATTTTGTTTGAAAGATAGAACTATTTCAATCAACATACAGACACGAATATATAATTATATATAAATAAATAAATCTCCAATATTTGTAATGGAATGATATTGGAGTGTGAAAAAATATAAGATTTTTTTTTTATTGCAATAATATAAGATTAATAAACCAGGATTGAAGGATTTAAAAGTAGAAAAGAGATCATGTGGAGACCACAACATACCAAATCAAAGTGTGCCAACTTTATACCAAAAAAATTTTTAACCACTTCATACTAAATTTTTATAACAAAAAAATTTCTAACCACTTCATACCAAACAAAGTGTGGCAACTTTATAGCATAGATTACTTTATTAATTTTTTGATATAATAAATATCTATATATATATATATCTATCTATATATATATATATATTTCGGAAAACAATTACTATTTTTAAAGTAATCAAACTTTTATATACTTATATAGATCTAATAGTAATTTTGATTTATAAATATTTCAAAATTTATATTTCACGATATATTCAGTACTATATAACAATTTAAGCATTTTTATATTTTGTAAGAATAGCTTAAAAATGTTTAGGTAACGTTTTAGGTTTTGTTATAAATGTTATATAACATCCTTATAGTATTTTAGATAGAAGTTTTTTTTATATGTTTTTACAAAGTTAATTTTCATATAACATTTTCAACAAATTATTGTATAGTAATTTGTATTACATGATAATATTACATGTTAAACCTACATTTTTAATTTATCAATATTATTTGTCCATGCAATTAGTATTTAGACAAACTAGTTTTGAGCTAAAACTAAGGCTATGGTTGGTAAAGTTAGCTGTTAGCTCATAAGTTAACTTATTGCTTATAAGTGAATATCGAGTTTATACCTAATAGCTTATGGTAGAAAAGCTAGCTGATATGATAAAAATTTTTGGTAAATCACGGGTTGATCCATATATGGGACAACCTAGGCTGAATTTTTGGTGCTAATTACTACACAATTATATAGTTAATATGTATTACTTAATAATTTATATTGAACATTTGTAAGTATATGAATACAAGTTTTTATTTAGAATGTTAAGAAGTAACATTATTATTTTTATTTAAAATGATACACTCATCTGTCAGATTCTATAGTATTATATTAAAATATTTTTAGTACTTATACCATATTTAAATTTATGGTTTTTCAATTACAATTAATAAATATTTAATTTTTTATTGATAGTGATCAGATAGATATTTATTTTAATTTATATATACAATATAAATGTCATATTATGGTTCGTCAGAGCATGACTAATTTATTTATCATATAAAAAAAAATGATAACATATATAAATGTAATTAACTTTTAAAATATACTAGTATGTACCCCGTGCGATGCACTGGCGATATTCATTTGGGGAATATTATAAATTGGAGTTTATTAATAAATAAAAGAGTGATAATTCATAGTGAAATTGTTAAATAATAAAATATTCTTCATGAAAGAATATATATATATATATATTATTAAAAATAAATCCTCAATAAATGAGAATTCTAAAATCGGATGCATATAATTATTTACATAGTCTTTTCCTACAAAACAACTGTCAACATAATTAAAATAAACTAAGAATTGACAAAAACAAACGGAAGTCAAGTTATGTGGAAACTATGCAATTAATGATTTATTTTTTATATACCATAAATAATTATGGAAATAATTGATGTTTTATATACCAAAAATTATTAATGTTTTTTTTATTATTTTTTATATATTATTAATGTTTTTTCCATATCTAAAAAATAATTGAAAAAATCCATATAAATAGGGATTCTTTCAAAAAACTAAAAAGGTGTTGTATTGAGATAATTATGGACAAAAAAGTTTGAAAAATATTTCGTATTTTTTAACCCACAAAATTAATTGGAAGAGTCCATATAAATGGGGATTGTTTCCAAACTTAAGTTAGAAAAAAAAAGGGCATGATTTTAGGCAAAAAGGATGTTGAAAGCCCGAGATACTTTAAAAAATGGGCATTTATTTAAAACGTTTTTAATTATGCTATTTTTAGTATGTAATTAATGATTTTGGCGGGAAATTGTTTCTAAATTTGATTTATGTTAATCCTTATTATATATATACTAGTATGTACCCCGTGCGATGCACGAGACAAAGATAATTAAATGAGTTATTTTAACAGCCTTGTCCGTTTAAGTCTAAAAAGTAATAATGCTATTATCTATTTTCTACCACTTTTAATCAACGTTAAGTCTAAAAAATTATTAAGCCGCCCTCTGGCAAATATATATGGAGTTATGTGTTCGTGTCTCATAAGTCACAAACATTATGAATAACATTACAAATTATTCATTCAAACTTTTATCCATTGCAATGTATTAAAATAGTTTATATAACAACCATTAAATACCACTTTCAATATATTTATAAATAAAAAGTATATAAAATTTCTGGTGTGTTCAAATTTAAATAATTTTTTATGGGCTCAATTTTAAATCATCCAGACATTTGGTCAAACGCATAGCTGTGTTCAAATTTAAATCATCCAGACATTTGGTCAAACGCATAGGTGTGTTCAAATTTAAATCATTGACATTTTGGTCGGTTGAAATTTAAATCATCTACATTGGTACTGTGATGTGTATTATATATATACAATTTTTTAACAAATAATATGTGCTTTATAAAAATAATAATAATAATTTCACAAGATTTTAAACGTAAAATTTGGTTTTTAATCACAATAGAAAAATCATGGTAAATTGTATTGAAAAGGTGTTATGAGATAAAACAATTAACTAAAATAATTATATAAAATACTTGATGGAAATAGAATGCATTAATTACCTTTGACTTTTCTTACTACTAATTCAAGTATACAGAATGTCTTTTTATATAAGTATAGATTTACAATTTAGGTTAGCCGAGTGTTTAAAATTTGGAAATTTTGGATAAAACTCCATATTTATACGGACTATTTGAATCCTTAAAAATTAACATATAGAATAAAAAAGCGATGAAAGTTGACAATGAAAAACTCACATTTATATAAGAAGATAGTCCATAAGAAACTCCTTATAAAATAACATGAAGAAAAATGGTGACATTTAGGCTTTCTTAAATTAATAAATTATATTTCCAAATGACTTGTTTATAGCTTGTTAAAAAAATGAAGGAAAAAAAATTGTAAAATATTTTTTGTATATTTCTTAACAATAATAAAATGCAAAATAAAATAACGAGACATCATTCTCAATTTTATTTTTTAGCATCAAGTCAAAGACAAATTGAATATGGAATTACTCAACCCGATTGCTCCAACAATTTATTTAATTGTTAATAAATTTTATCTTCGAACTATTTTATGCTCTGACTCATGAAAATTTTTGGATCCCCCGCTGTAAAATTAATTGATAAGTCAGATGAAATAAAAATTTCAACGGCCTTATCACTACAAAATAAATGTTATATTCCAACGGAAAATCTTATGGTAATATATTCCAATAGAAATTCCAACGTATATTCCAATGGAATAGCTTCCGTTGAAATAGTTCCAACAGAAATTCCAACGGAAATATTCCGTTGGAATGTGTTTTTCATTGAAATTTTAGATGGAATTTGATGATTCCAACGACTATATTTCCAACGGCTTTTTACCGTAGGAATTTCCGTTGGAATATGCAAATTCTGTTGGAATATTTTTTCCACCCTCGTTGGAAAATCCACCTTTGGAATCGTCAAAATCCAACGGAAATTCCAATGGAAAACTCATTCCAACGGAATATTTTCGTTGGAATTTCCGTTGGACTCAGTTGAAAAATTCCAACGGAAATAATAGTATTGAAATATCCGTTGGAATTGCCGTTGGAATAATTCTTTTGAAATAGATTTCCTTTGGAATTTCATCATTTTCTTGTAGTGTATTTGAAAAGCTACCCAAATAAGTTGTTGAGATAAACTCGAGATTTGAAAAAAAAAAAAAAAAAGCTCGTCCTATCAAACCAAACTTATTTGTATACGAAATAAATATAAGTTGGCTTATGGTGCTTATCAGTATAAATGTTTGAACCTAATTACATATGTTTAGCTTTTTATAAGTGGGTTCAATAGATTTAGTGTTCATTCCAACCTCCTTGCTCTCACCTCACCTAATCAGCTCAGCTAGCTTTTATAAATGTAAGTGCATTAACATACTTTATTTTATTATTTTTTTTTTTTAACAATAAGTGGATTGATGAAAATTTTAAAAAGTAAACAAATTATTGTTGGGAATCAATATATAAACCTAAAAACCAAATAATATTTTTGTGGATAATGACAATTTTAGTTTTTTTTGTACGCAGATAAATGCTAACAACTAAACATAAAAGATGATTCACTGCGTTAAACACTTTTCCTTACCTTTTAACTTCAAAACAACAATGTTGGCTCAACTGTGTTATCTGCATTGAATCCAGCAACCTTCAGGGCCCCCACAGCCCAATCGATGGCCGATGGGGAAAAGAATCTAATCGAGACATCGGATGCTATAGACACAAAACATGTATGTAAGCCGGGCTCGACGCATGCAAGTTCCTGAGAATGAAGTGCATTCTCTCTATGCCGGGAAGGGATCATTATGTCGTAGGTCATAACTAGAATTGACTAGGCAAAACGTGGATTAGTTACTATAAATAGCATGAGACAAGCCGTGTGTTTCATAAATACAAAATGATATCGCACACTAACAATCTTCATTAGCTAAAGCTAAAAAAAGCATACTAATAAGATAGATCATGATAGCAAAATGATCTCAAACTGAAACCTTGGTAATAATGCCTAAGACTATATTATGTAAACCTCCTCGATTCAACAATCTCAAACTGACAGCAGATATGTAGTCGCTGCAGGGAACATGGCAACAGCCAATCTCTCCGGATTAGAGTATTTCCTCCTAACAGCTTTTAGTGAGCTCTCCGTTAAGCCCGAGTGGAAGCTCACCAACCGCTTCGCACATTCCCTGATACACAAATGAATTCATAAGAGAGAAGAAATACAATAATTTGGGATAAAGAATGAGAAAGAGCATAACTACTGAATTCATAAGAGAGAAGAAAGATAATAATTTGGGATAAAGGATGAGAAAGAGCATGACTAGTAGTTTTACGTACAGAAGCTGATTCTCAGAATAGCCAGTATAGTGTTGGAGAGTCTCAGTCCACAAGGGAGCTCGATTCAGAGTGCAACGAGCTGCATACACTGCAGATGCAGAAAGCTTTGAGGAATTGTACTCTATGCTGGTCGAGTAGTTCACCAAGCCGAGTTCCGCAAAGAATAACGTCATGTGCTCCATCTGCATCGACGATAAATAACATGATGTTCAAAATAGAATCCTTTATGTGTAATATGTTGCCGTTCTACAAGTTCCACCGAGTAGGTAAAGTTACGGGTAAGCTTTTGCAAGCTAATTATATATTACTACCTCATCATCTTCTGGAGCAGAGGCTTTTATGTATCGAGTGAGAAAGACGTATGGAGTAGGCACTGTTAGATACCACTCCAGCTGCCTAAGAATTGCTTTTTCCATGAGAAGCACTTGTTGTCTGGTATAAGCATTATCTGAGATTGCTATGAAGTCACTCACCTGAAAAAAAGTAACGAAAAACAGTTGATTGGTTTTAGAACTTGAATCACATTACATGAATAATAGTCGAAAAGAATAATTAGGTTTAAGGTTTTCGACCTCCGGTGCCCATATCTCCTCATATTTGCAAGCAATTAGCATTGAGCTTATGCCGACCAGCTGAAGTTCTTCCCTTGGAACCATTTTTAGTGAGAGAAACCTGTCGAGTATGTTGATTGTTAGGTAAAGGCTTTCAGGCATGAGTTTGAATTTCTTGTGGACTTCAATTAGCCAGTCGACTAGAATGGCTCTCATTTTACAGTTGACTTCTGGTTGTGAATCCATGTAATCATGAACTCTGCCATCCTCCTGTCAATCATGAAGCTAGTCATATACTATGTGGCCTATTTTGCAAAACAAGACATATGATATTTTTCCAAGTTACAAATATACACTACCTCAGTTAGCTTATAAAACCTATACATATCTTCAACATACTCTACTGCAGCTAATTCATCATCCACGTCGCCTGCATCAATATCGACGGTCGGAATTTTCTTCTTGGTGGTAAGCCCACAAGCAGCCTGAAAAGGATGAAAACAACAAAATTGATATAATTCTTGAAAAATATATTAAGGGGAAGTGAGTAACAAGTGATACATAAATAAATGCATACCTTGCCTCTAGCAGTAAGGATACCAGTGAGAGTTTTGTTGGGTTTCTTTGATGTTTTCTTTGCTATTCCAGCACTTTCGTCGCTTTCTTCTTCATCAGAGCTAATGACAATCAATTCTTGTTTATTTGGTTTGTGAAAATGTTCCTTCTTACTACCTTTGGCTTTTGCAGCACAATCTTTTTCCAATGGTTTCTGCACATGCCAATGATAATTAGATGGGCCACCATAGAAAGGGATAAAAATTTAAAAACTGCCATTGGTTTGTAGATAATTCCAGAAATAATCCAGCTTTATGTTTCAATTTGATAGTACCCTTCTCATAGTTAGTGTTTTTGTAATCTTTACAAACATAACAATGTCAAATTCTTAAATTCTATCTAATGGTGAACTGTCTGCGACATCCACGTAAAACGAAATCGAGTAAGAGAGAAACAAAAGGAAGAAAAGATCAAAATCATGCCTTGAAATTGTTCTTCTCTACTGCTTCTTCTTGTGCTTTGGCTAATGTCTGCATGCCAAAGCTCCTGAACCAGGAAACGAAAAAAATAACTAACTTTTATCAAAATATTACTCGGCTTCCAAAACCGGTTCAGCGTTGTGTGAAGTTTTGCGTGTAGAATTTACAGAACCTTGTAATATTTTGGGGCTTGCCCTCAACAGCTGGTGCAGATATCAAATTCCCAATGTCTCTCAGAACACGCCTATTTCTACCTTCGGCTTGCGCATTTTTCGGCTTTCCTCCTCCAACTAATCATATTACAAAGAATATTTACAAAGACCATTCACAAGATTGTACCAAAGAACCGACAAAGAAATCAACACAGAGACATAAAACCCTCCCACGAACATCAATTTTATCATCTCAATAAACCCTTCAACAATAAAAGCATCAAACTTTACCACTAAACCTAACAAAAAAATCAATTAACACACCAAAAATAACGATAATTAGCGTCACTTATAATATCATTATCATATACCTATGGCTTCCTCAAGAACAACAGCAGCAGCCCTCGAGCCCATCTCTGAAACAAACCCTTTTTCTATTTCAATTTGTTGGTGATGATTATCGGTTTTATAGCTATATCCGCCTCCGCCGAAGACCCCTCCAAGGCTGGCCCAAAACGAGGACAGGAAAACGTGGAGACGGCCGTTGCCCGCCTCCTCTCCGACTTCTGGGCTTTCGTCCGCCACCGTGCAAGAACTTGTATACCTCTTTATCATAGAATTCCTTACTTTTTGGAAAACAAAGGGTTGAGAGAGAGAAAAGAGTTTCAGGGGTGAGTTGGGATGTAAAATGGGGGATAATGACGGACGCCTCTGTGTTGTCAACGGTCAGTTGTTTTTAACATTTGAATGTTATCCGTTGGATTCGTGAGGATTGTACGGTTTGGATTAGGAAAGGCTGTGCAGGCTTTTTTTTGTTTACTAGCCGTTAGAATGGAGAATGGTGAAGAATGTTACCGTCTATTGAATGAATTCATTGATTTGTGAATGGTGGATTTTGAAATTTATTAGAGCTTGATTGTTTATGAAATAATTTGTTCAAATTGAGTTATTTTTGGTTAACTATAGTTAATTTTGAAAAATATGGTATGGTTTGTTGTAGTGGAATTTTAAGAATGTATTAAAATAATATTTAAAATAAATTGATTAAAATTGATTTGATGTAAAAGTAAGAGATAAATGATTGGAAATGATATGTAGTTAAAATTATGAGTAGATGAATAGTGAATTAAAGTTGATGTGATGTGTAAGAATGATTGGTTCGTATTATTTAATTATATGAATAATATTAAAGATAGTGTGATTGATTTAAAGTTGAGTTAGATTTTGAATTGAAATAAAAGTGAGTAAATTAATTTGTATACAAGCAAGCCTTTAGTATTTTTCTTCTATGCGAAAAATAGGATGCTTCTAAGGATATGTTTGCGATGGAGTAATTACATCATTATGAAAGATGAAGAGTTCGACTATAGTTAACTTTGAAATTATGATTTATTTGAGTTGTTGTTATTATTAAGTATCATGGGTCAACCCAGCAAAACCAAACCAAATGAGTGTTGAGCCCGCAAGCCTAAACGAAAGTTGCCCAAAGAACAACGACCACAAGATCTATCGATCTCCTTGATTAACAGACAACTCTTCCTCCGAAAGTTTGGCGATCTTTCTGCAGTTTGAATACGATACCGTTAAAGCTGATAAAGTCACCATTCAACCCATCGCATCCTCAAAAGTTGATTTTTGCATGGATACACGCGACACAACCCTACGCCTTTAGTTGACCTAGGGGCGGAGTTACAACTATTACTGCCTGGGATGCAGCCTGGTGGGTCTATATACCACATATGTATTTTCTATTACCTTATTTTGGATTTGAGAAATTTACTCCTCCTACTGCTACTTTAGATCTTATTTGTAAGATTACGATAGACTCATATTATTTTTATATGTACGAATGTCAAAAGTAATAATAGGTAGATTTAACTTACAAAAAAAAAAATGTCACCACAATTAATTCCTTAAAGTGTATATAATGGTAGTGGACCAAAAATATCGGAGATCGTGCAAATCTCTACTTACCATATACATCTTCTAAAAAGAAAAAAAAAAAAGAGACTTCTCTGCTCACAAATCTCATTGTTCTTGTTTCTTTCCACCATTTTGAAAAAGAGTTAAAAAGAAATCCTTACAATATTCACCTCCATAGTTTTGTTAATGGCCAAGAGTAGTCCACCACATACCAAGAACCACCTCTCCTTATTCTCCACGAGAGCTCAATTGCAGGATTGTCTAACAACATGGATTTCTACTCGATGTAGGATTGTTGTCAGGAGAAGGCCAGATAAGACGAGAAGGGCGGCTATGCAGGCCGGGCAGAGGCCAATCGGATGTCCGCTTGCGGCCCGATCTCCCTGTGATGACAGCATGCCTCCGCTGTTGCATCCACCTTTCACAACCGCCTCCTCGTCAAAATTTTCACGACATCCGAACCGCCGAGGATTAGACGGCATTCTGCTATTGCTAACCTCTCGCCGAAAATTCGTTAGCCGTTCACAGAATACCAACCGACAACGTCCGACGAGCCCGAAGGTCCTCCTCTCTATTATAGTGATTGGATGTGTTGCAATAATAATTTATGAATAAAATTATAATTCATACTTGTTTGTCAATTGTAGAAATTGTCTTTTTTGGATTTATTTGAATATTTTTGTGCCTGTGTAGGGTTTGTTAGGGACACTTTTGTTGAATTTTTGTTGAATGCATGCATTGACTGAATTGGTTTGTGTTGGTCTGATTACCGAGTATAAACTCCAAGTAAATCATTATCCTGACTAAATCCGCAAACCGAAGTCTACGCTATACCGAACTGAAGTAGACATAAAAAACAAGGTCTACACATGATTTCCTCGACCGAGGTCCGCCACTCCCGAAGTTACCTAACTCCAAAGCAGGTGACAAGGCGCCTACACCATAACTATCGATCCACGAGATTTTCATCATGATGCCGCCCACAAAAAGCTGCTTTAATGAAAAAGTGATTCAGCTTTACTTAGGAAATTGTGCCAAAAAGATACTATATATGGATGTTTCTAATACTTGTACAAGGATCGCACTCTGTAATCTCTCTACATTTGTAATCTACACGTAACGGCCATAAAGAGCCATTTCAACTCCGTTATCCTCGGACCGGGGCCAGTGTTCTTATTTTATTTTGTCAGTAAATCATTACTCTTTATATATAACCTTGTGTAAACCAGATTAGTCCGTTGTTGTATAATCACATAACAACAAATTGGCGCTAGAAGGAGGGCCCTCATTTGTGTTTTGAGGTCAATCTCCCAGTGTAATTGTCCGATAGAATATTACTACTTTGCTATCGTTATGTCACATTCAGACCATCGTGGCCGCACCTCCCGCGACGGCCGCAGCCACTCCGCCGGACGGACTACTACTGTCCCACCCGTGCACACTGATTACACTGCTCTGTTTCAAAATCCGGAGTTTGCTCGTGGACTAGCGACTCTGATGGCACACACCATGCCGGGTACGTCAATCATCGCTCCCGGGCGTTCTATTGTACAACCGCCGCTTACCACACCACAAGTTCCCTCCGGTCAGCGGCGAGGTGATGAAGACAATGTGTCGCATGCTACATCTCACCCTCATAGTCGAGCCTCCCATCGTGATCGTGACAGGGAGAAGAAAACTCGTCCAACTAATGCGAACACACTGCCGGAGGCACAACATGAGATGATGGCAGAAAGCCATTCCGGCCATCGTCGGCAATCACCCCCTCGCAATCAACCGTCAGAGAAAATTCCGCCTATCCAACCTGACCTACGACATCAAATCGAGCGAAATCGTTCAGCTCGTCAAGGGTCTAATGAACTGGAAATTTTAAGACGAAGATTAGCCGAGTTGGAAAACCGGCAGAAGGCACAGGAAGATTCTCCTCGTCGTGCATCCACTTCGGCTCAAGTATACTTGGAAGTGGATTCTCCTCTTGCCCCTGAATTAACGTCAGAACCTGTTCCTGGAAAGGTCAAAGTACCCCAAATCGGCTTGTATGATGGGACTTCGGATCCCGATGCTCATCTCGGTCATTATACCTCTTGGATGGATCTCCATGGTGCTTCCGACGCTCTTCGATGTCAGATGTTTTCTCTTACCCTCGGACCTCGCGCTCAAAAATGGTACCACTCTTTACCTCCTCATTCGATATGGAAATGGCAACAGTTGAGTTCCGCATTTCGGTCTCATTTCATTGGGGCCCAAGTATGTTTGATTCCCAAGGAGTCCATCGCCAATGTCACTCAGAAGGATGATGAGAGTGTTAAAGATTACATTGCACGATTTAATGACCGGGTTCAAAATATGGAGCCCTGTCATCCTGAAACTTTACTCGTTATGGTGATTGCCGGCCTTAAACCGAATTCAATATTTCGGTGGACGTTATGTCAGAACAAACCTCATACTTTCCAGGAATTCCTCGCGCGGGCACAGCAACATATCATTGCCGAAGAGTCTATTTCGGTTCCCGATTTTAATTTCGCTCCCAAATCAACTAATTCCGGGGCAACTCAGACAATAAGAAAAAGAACAAATCTTTTGGTGGGAAACCCCACAAATCCCAGTTCGGTGGATACCCAAATGGAGATTCTAACGATTCCAAAGTGGAGCTGCCCAAAAACAATATGCTACTTACCTGAAATCGGGATATCAAACTGTGTATTCGGCAGGGGCCGCTGTCATATACGAAGAGCTTAAAGGTAAGGGCATCCTGCCTGATCCTAAACCCGTTCGAGCCCCAGAGGAAAAGTTAGATAAATCCCGATATTGTGATTATCATAAATCACTCGGGCACAATACTGATGAATGTCTGAGTCTCTTGGCTGCATTGTTGTGACTAATCGGCCACTCCCAACTAAGGCGATTCTCCCAGACTTCGGACATTCGGAGGCCGGGGCCTGGAAAACAAGCTGGTCCTTATGAAGTTGATGATGAAGAAGACCGTGAGGTCATGCCCAAATGAATTCGACAGGGAGATAAAGAAGTGTTTACCTTTGCTCCAGGTTTGGTCGGCACGGGGTCCTCCTGGGACTCTCATGATCTCAAACGAAGGCGATCTCCCAGTCCCCCACACCTCGTCATTAGTCAGGTGAATACAAACAAATCCAGAAACACGTCATCCCGACGACAACTCAAAGCCTATGCGCGACAGGCGTACCATTCGGGCAAACAAGTGTACACAACTGATCTACGCGATGTCATTAATGCTCGGCAAGGATCTATCACCTTTAACGTCGAAGACGCTAACCATTTTGTTCATCCTCATTCTGATGCCTTGGTGATAACCGTTCCGATCTGTGGGTCCCTGTTTATCGGGTCATGGTTGATACCGGGTCCTATTCTAGCATCTTGATGGCGAAAGCTTTTGATAAATGGGTCTGGACCCTGCTGACATCAAGCCCTGCAGTGACCAGATTCAAGGATTTAATGGTAGTATCTCTCGACCTATATGCGAAATTAATCTTCCCATCCGATTTGGCGACTCCGGTCGCGCTTCAAAGCTCATCATGGGAACGTTCAAAGTTATGGACATAAAAAATGAGTATAATGCCATTGTTGGTAGGACTGCTTTGTATACATTACGAGCAGCCGCGTCCATTTTTCATTATGCGCTCAAATTTCCAACTCCACATGGAGAAGGTACTCATTAC